GAGGCCACCGCTGAGTAGTAGGTTGGAGGCCAACGCTAGTAGGCTTGAGGCCAACGCTTAGTAGGTTGGAGGCCAACGCTTAGTCATGGATTCCTTATGGAATCCGTTTCCCAAGCCGAGGCGCGGGACCCGCGGGCTGACCGTGGCGCCGCCGTGGACCGGGGCCCTGGTGGGACCGGAGCCGGACGGTTCCGCTGGACAGCGGCGATGCATGCAAACGTGATTGGCAGGATGGTTGGCAGGACGCAAACGTCAATCTTCCACACACCCGCCCAACCAAAGATGTTTTTTTCTTATAATATATATACATATATATATATAGATTATATATACTTTTTTCTTCAGCATTTCAGGCATCCAATCTTTTCGGGGGTCCCGACACTTGGTGGTGTTTGTGGGGTGCCTGGAGAAAAGAACTGATGAGGCTCGTGACAACAGTGATGTCAGAAAAGATGGCACAGCAGCTTAGACCTAGCTTGGAGAGGGGAGTGCTTCTATTTTTTCTTTGATATGTCTCTGAATCCATGGAAATTTTAGCTGGAGACTCGGCACCTTGCAACAATGTAAATCCTAGAGATGATACAAGTAGCTGCAGCCGCCCTCTCTCAAGTTTGATATAGAAAGCTCAAACCCTATTTTGCTCACTATGGCAAACCCAAAGGTCTATTTTGTCCGGGACTTAACATGTTCTGAAGATTTCTCACTCTTGGATTGCTTGTGTTCTCTTTCCATATCTTTCCATATGAAATCTTTGCTGGAACTAAGGACATGACCATCGGTGGTACCGAAGCCGGCCGTATTACCATGGAGCTTCGCGCTGATGTGGCCCCTAAGACCGCTGAGAACTTTCGGTGCCTCTGCACAGGTGAGAAGGGCATGGGAAAGTCAGGCAAGCCTCTCCACTTCAAGGGCAGCGCTTTCCATCGTGTCATCCCTGACTTCATGTGCCAGGCTGGTTGAGCTGAAGACAAAGCATGTGTTTGCTTTAAAGTATTGCTTGACCCTGTGAGACATGATTCACGAACTTGAACTTTTTGTGAATTGAGCATGCACAGTAGACCCTGTGCAGGGTGGCGACTTCACCGCTGGCAACGGAACTGGCGGTGAGTCCATCTACGGGGCCAAGTTTGCCGATGAAAACTTTACCCTCAAGCACACTGGCCCAGGAATTTTGTCAATGGCCAATGCTGGCCCCAACACCAACGGTTCACAGTTCTTCCTGTGCACAGTAAAGACTGGCTGGTTGGACGGCAAGCATTGTGTGTTTGGCGCTGTCACTGATGGCATGGATGTGGTGAAGAAGATCGAGGCTGTCGGCTCTCAGTCTGGCAAGACCTCCAAGCCAGTGATGATTGCAGACTGTGGCCAGCTTGCATAGGCGAAGACCGTGCTTGGTTCTGAGTGTGGAGAGGCCTCTTGCTCTCAAGTATGAAGAATGAAACTTGAGAAGGATCTTTTGTGCAGTCTATGTGCTCTCTATGGGATTGAGAGAATCCGTGTTCCAGCGAAGCGTC